TATATTTACTTTTCCTTTATCATCTAAGACCGCATCGCACGCTTGGTCTAATATCTCCGGATATAACAGACGAAATTGAAATTGGATAAGACGTTACATCAATTTGATAAAAATCGTCTACGTAAGTTCCTCGATTCCAATTACTTTCACTGGACGGCTATTCATTATATTTCAAAATTAATTAAAAAATATTAAAATGTAAAGTATTCATTTTGCATTCGTACTCACAATTAATCCACCAAAAGCATATATTAACGAACGATTGTTTTTTTTAAGCGCACTAAAAGTAGTACGGCGAAACGTCAACTCATTTAATGGACCACCAATTTTGTCGAATGCTGGTTCTGATGTGGTCCAACTTACAGAAAGATCTAAGGAAAAAGCATTGGTCTTGTTAATGCCAAAGTCCTTACTGTCAAATAATATAATTTTTTGGTCGATAAATATTCCGGGCTCTGGAGCTAGTAAGTTATTAGGTGAGTAGAATGACTGCACATTCTTAGTTGAAATAAGGAAAATTAAATATAAATAAATTAATAAGAACATGATTTTATGTTTTAATGATTTATTGGATTATTATCATTATATGTCAACTACGTACATGTAGTCCAAAAGAAAATAAACGTGTAAAATGTAGTGGTAGTCTAAAGAAGTACGTAAATCATTTTGTAACTCATTTTTAGAGATAATACGCACATACTACCGTTACCGTTATCGTTACATGTATACGTACGTAATTGGAGATGCTCTCGTACGAGTTGATTTATTGTTACATATTTAGAACAACTTAATTTATCACAATAAACTTTAAATATAAGATACTCGCACTTTTTTTTAAAAAATCCTTCTCTAATTTCTCGTCATCATTAATACCGTTACGTGTCTCTTTATTTAAAACCATTTTATAAAATAGATACCCATGATTGTAATGCATGTCGAAATCGTGACTACTGCGATGAGTGTTCATTCAATTCACAATACTCAATACTCATGATTGCAGTAAATGTATCGATTGTCAAGAAAATAAGTATTGCGATTTGTGTTATAAATACATGTATCACAGACGAATCTACGAAGCTAAAAGCGGAAATAAAGATGTCGACTGTCTGATAAAGGAATGCAATAACATTAACTTTAAAACATTTTTCGAATGAATCCCTTTCGAAAGATTCACCGATGTTAAATATCTTGCGAAAGGAGGTTTTGGAACAATCTATAAAGCAACCTGGTTGGGCGAATAAATAAAGCAGTCTGGTTATGCAAATTAAAAAATATAATCATTAAGAAAAGGAATATAAGTGATCTAAAAAAACATACCATTGTTGTATTGAAATCATTACACAATTCAAAGCAAATTACATTGGAACTTATAAACGAGGTAAAAATGAATCATTTCTAAAATAAGCATAATGCTCTAATTCAATTAAGTTTTTCAAAAATAGATTCTGACTGCTGTAAAGTGCACTGCGTGTTTTAATTATTATGGAATTACAAAAAACCCAACTACATGTACAAATGAGTATTCAATAGTGATGACTTATGCAGAAGATGGCGATCTTCGCAAATATCTTACTTCCAACTAGAACGAATGAATTGGAGAGTAAAATTAATTTAATATTATCGAGAATTTGCGTCGAATTCACAAAGAGGGATTTATGCATTGTGACTTACATCATTAATCTTCACATTCGACACTTGTATTGCCGATTTTGGACTTACCAGGCCAGCGGATATCGATATAAACAAATCTAAAAGGGAAATTTACGGAGTACTTCCTTATCTGAGTCCAGATGTGTCGAATGGAAAGCCATATATTAAAGCTGCAGATATTTATAGTTTTGGGATGGTTATGTACGAGATTGCAACCATTCGATGAGCGGAGTCATGATATAGACCTCGTATACGACAACTATAGAGGAGTACGACCTACGATACCAAATATTGTTCTTGAATGGTACAAATTTATTATCGAAAATGTTGGGATCCTATTCCAGAAAACAGACCAACTGTTGAGGAACTTTACGAATTTATCAACTCTATATACAATGCGAACTACTTTATTGATGAGTGGAAACCGAATACTTTGCATTTCAGCTCTTTAGGAGATAAAAAAACACGAAGAAATTAAAAATTGTCTTAATTTAGAAAGGCAGAAAATAAATGAACTTGATGAGGCGATGAAATCACAAAAAAGCATTTCTACAAATACGAACAAAAAACAACAATCCATTCGAATGCCGTTTATACCAGTCGAACCTTTACTATAAAATTAGTTTCAATTCCAAAGGACACAGGTACTTTTCTTTAAATATGCTGACATTACTATTTCATATCGATATTAATTAAAATTCTTTTGAATATTTAGGGTTAGGTTCTACAAGTGCTAGTTTGTATGTTCCAAGCGGAGGTAAGATGGCTATTTTCATTTTGTTCATTGATTTCTTAACTCATTACCAATTTTTCTTTTGTTGAGCAAATCAGATTTCGATTTTAGCATACCATACATAATCAAGAAAATGAAGAAATATCGTGTCTTACAAGAAAAACTACAAATGTTGATTTAATTAGGAGTCTAAAAACATTGGAGATCCTGACGGCCCAGCAACCAAAAGCGGTTTCTACAATTTACCAACTTTTTTGTGTATATCGATATTGATATATTTATCGTTATTACTTTAAAATTTATATATCTATAGATTTTGTTCCTAGCAATTGGTAATCACGTACGCTTGCAAAATAAGCGTTGTTTACTTGTCATATTTACTGAGATAGCAAATAATATACACAGACTACAAGAAAGTATTAGAGGATTTTCAAAATTCAATAAATTTAAATTGTTGGCTATTACTAGCTATGCATGCTGCTATTCTACTAATTATTTCTGGCTCTTGAATGCTGATGATATTTTCTCAACAAGGAAAAGCACATTTGAGGCTATGGTGCATAACGATAACATCTAAAATCATCAAACGTTTGTATTTTATAAAATGTATAAACTTCTTTGCTAAGGGGGGCGCCATTTATCAGGTGATTTTCATTAATTAGAGAGGTACCCTACCCACCCGCTCTCAAACTCACTTGATAAGTGGCGCTCCCCTAAGAAGTAAATACAAAATTTAATCCGTGAATATGTTCAGAAAGGGCCTATTCTTTCATATTCACGGATTAAATTTTGTATTTACTTCTTAGTAAGAAAGTTTATATGGTGCATAACATCTAAAGTCATCAAACGTTTGTGTTTTATAAACTGTATAAACATCTTTACTAAGAAGTAAATACAAAATTTAATCCGTGAATATACTCAGAAAGAGCCTATTCTATCATATTCACGGATTAAATTTTGCATTTACTTCTTTGTAAAAAAGTTTATACATTTTGTAAAATACAAACGTTTGATGACTTTAGATGTTATGCACCATACATTTTATAAAATACAAACGTTTGATGACTTTAGATGTTATGCACCATATGTCTCATATCACGCTATGAAATAGCAAAAAGAGAATTTGTTCCATAAATTTTTGTGCATTTGGTACTTGTGCGTCATCATCATGTTTCAGACAAGACAAATTTAGAAAGCTATTTTCCTCGTTGTACTAACAATTCAAAATTTCCTGTAATGAATTTCTTCGGTTGAGTTGTGTGTTCTCGTCGATGGTTGCTATAAATTTTTCGTTATAAAATTCAATGCGTCTGAATTGTCATGGTAAATCCTAAATTTGAAGCAAATGTAGTGAGTACGCCGATATTTTCTCAGTTGGACTGTTATTTTTTAAAGAGTTGCATGAATTTTATTTACGTCACGCACAAATTTATTGAAGTACATGAACATTATAAGTAAAATAAAGCAGATACGAGACTAAAAATTATCACTTGAATTGAAAGTGAATAAATAGGGTGCTTTTCACTAATATACTTTTGATTTATCCATTCGATCATTTTACATTGTTGTGCTTCGATTTCAATTTGAGTTTATTTAGCATTGAAATAAATTCACAAAAATGTATTTAGCTACTCACCAAATTCAATAAGTTTATTTTACTCGCTCAAAACGTATTTTTAATTCGTTTTCACGCGTTATCCAAATCATCTCTTGAGAGGTCACCATCAACAGATATCAATCCTTGAGTTGAAAATGATGCGTTTTTAACATCGCTACCATCCAAGGGTCGTTGACAAAAGTATCTGCAAAACAAATCTACTGTACTATTTTGAGATAGCGATCGATAAAAGCCACAATATTTTTGGTATCCCAACAAGAGGAAACTATTCTCCTGTTCTGTACTATTTCATTCATTGTATTGCACTGTATTGGAAAAGTGTTAGGGTATGGGTTCGGAATATAGGTTATCCTAACGTAATTAAAGGTTTATCTACATAACGATAGTTCGATAATCCTCTCAACAAACATTAAGTTAAAAATACAGAATAACGCAATAGATATAGTTGACAGTATGATAGATATAGTATAAACATCAAGTTTACGTACAGTGAAATCATTCTTGAGCTCATTGAAAAGTCTTACTAACCTTTACTCATAGGAACCTACGTACTTGTTTACTTATCTATATACGACAAATTTAGATTTTCAGTCCCTTAAATATAAGGTTTCAGTTCACTTATTTTCGGTTCGATTCAGAATTTGGTTGGAACCGAACTAATCAATATACGATAATTTGCATTATAATACTTTTTCTTTTTCTCTTAGGTTTGAACCAAACCGAAATTACGATTTGGTTCGGTTAGAAAATACTTAGGAGCTGGAATCACTCCCAGAACTGAATCAAATTTTCGAGTCTGCATCAGTTCTACTCACATTGCTGATTCCAATTTGAAAACATGCATGCTTTAAGAATAAATAAATGCCATTCATTAATACACGAAATAAATTAAAACCATTAGATAACACATATTGTATTAACAACAACTAAGCGCGCTTCTGTTGTGTTGGTAGAAAGGTTGTACAAAATACCCTTGTACAATTGGATGACAGTACGTAGACATAATTTAATACGTACTGGGAACACGTAAATCAAAGCAATCTTCTAGGCCAAGAATGCAAACACGACAGTGACAACAATGACTACTCTTTGCCACCATTCAGAAGCACTTATGCATAATGTTTATAATTCTTTTTCGCGATGGTCTGTCGAGAAAACCGTTGGAAAGTTGGATAAGACTAGATTGATAAATACTTTTTATTTGCTGGATATCCGTAGATACAGAAAATTTCACAGAATCATAGTAAAATTACGTGGCTGAAGGCCGCGTGTATTTTATAACTAGCTTATCCCATAGGTATGACGCATACCCGGTGGAACCCATGTATCATACTTTCTTATCAAAAGAGAGAGAGAACGTTTCACAATCACACACAGGATAAGACTAATACTATTACTTTTTAGTATTTTTCTTCATTATGAATAATAATCCTAATGAAGGCCAAAAGCGTAATATAGCTCTGCTAGACTTTGATGATATCCCTTATGAAGAATTTGACTACTTTCCTGGCAGTAGCATAAACTATTTAGATTCTGAAGTGGATGAAGGGATTTTGACTTGTTTCTAATTATAAATTTATAAGCTATATTCATTATCTTTCTTATAGGTGTCTCTTTTATCTCAGCATGCTAGCGCTTAAATGATACTTTAAATAAACTACATGTATATTATTCAATTAATTTGTGTTTATTTATTTTACCTAATACAGTATTTATTTTATTAAGAACACGTTTAAGTGATATTTCTAATTACTTCTCATCGTACATGCACGTTTCTTCAAATACTCATATTATTAATAACAATAATATGAATCTTCTAATAAAGAGATTTATTACCGTTACCATTTATTAATAATACGTAAACTGTCACGATGATTTTACCATTTTAATAATAACCTATTTTATCACAAGATTCTAGTACCCATGGAATAATTCTTTTTCTCAAACTATGTCATTAAAACGTCATATTCTTGCAAGAATTTTCGTTTGCATTCCTCTATAACATTTGTGCAAGTGTTCACAATGCTGACCTTTTATAGATAGCAAAAACGTCCGAGTAGCATTTTCCATTGAAGCATTCAGGATATTTTGAAAAAATTCTACTGTTTTTTAATATTATCAAGAGTAAGAAATTGTAATTGACCAAATGCCTCACAAATAACGTTCGTCATATAATTTTGTAGTCAGAAAGACGCTTTTCACATTACATAGATGAAATAACTCTTCTTTCATAAGTTTGGCTTTTTGATCTAAATAAAATTCAATTTTTTATTAATTCTTTCCACTTTATTAAATCTTTTATTTATGCCAAGTTGCAACTCAATAATTTTATTCAATCATAATTTCTCCCAGAGACCCGTGATTCATTGTTGTGATCAATAATATATTTGAAGTTATTGCTTTATTTGCTCATTTATACTATTCGAGTTCAACGCAACAACTATATGATAAATTATCGACTGTGGTGAATTGTTGTACAAAGGCAATCTCAATACAATGAAGCGAACGGGCTATTAGTACAAAAAATTTTCAATGAGAAATTATTAAATATATGAAAGTCAAATTATCTAAAAGATCACGTTATACGAAAATTATTAATGTAAGAAGTTTAGGATTATTAGGAGAACCAAATACCCTAGCTCAACAATACCAGGGCGTAGTAACGATTTTCCGGTCATGTGATTACCGATCCCGATGCCGACCCAATACAAACCATCCATCCTCTTTAAAATCATGCACCAATCAAAAAGCGCAAAATCAATGTGTAGCGCAAAAATTGAACGCTTACTTTGAAAAATAGCCTGTATCTTGAAATTTACTTATAAAAAATATTCCTTGCGAAATTTTATTATATACAGTCAAACCTCTCTATAGTCATCACCCTCAGGAAAGCAAAATTGGGTGACTATAGAGAGAATGTGACTATAGAGAGTTTTTATATGGTGCGAGCGGTCTAAAGACATCAAAGAAAAGGAATTTATTTTAAATATATAATCATTAAAATAAATACATTATCAAACAGCCTTTGATATATAATCTATAACATTATATATTTTTATTTATTTTACTATAAAAATTATTTCTAGTTAGGTTTTTTTAACATCAACTTTAATGATACTAATGAGATTTTCAGCACCTAAAATATCACGTGCATTGTTTTTGTTTTGCTGAATTTCATTATATAAAATTACATGATCATTTTTCATATAAAATTCTAATTAGCATTGTATAGAATAACTTATTTGGAAATGAGAATTCTTCAAAAATTACAGCAGTGGCGCAGCATTTGATGTCTAAGTTGCTTGAATGGGAAAGCAAAATAGGGGACTATAGAGAGATTTGACAGTACCACACTTCTTTCTGATATATGCTATGTTATAACCTTAATCATAACCCTAACCGAAACTCTATTTAATATTATGCATTATAATTAAGAGGGATATCGGATGGTTAGATCGGGGTTTGGCAATCACATGACCGGAAAATGATTCTACACACTGTCAATTTGATCGCATTACTGCGCACCGGGTCTTCTAAATCAACCAATAAAGATGCATAAATTTTTGATCAACTCGGCAAAACAAATCCGACACAAGAAATTTAAAAAGGCGAATAATGTGAAAAATACAGAAAACGAATGGGTAAACCTGGCTCGAAGCGCTAATAAAAATGTCGGGAAGACAATTTTACATATAATCTTCCCTCCAGCCCTAACCCTTAATCCTAACGCTCAAACTACTAACCTTTAATATCCTCAACCAATCAGAACTTGGGGGAAAATTATTAAATTCAATCTGACCACAGCACACCCAAAAACGTTTTCTCTTCACGTGATTTTCTGACGATCTCGAAACCCAAAAAATACGGGAAACAGATAATTAGAGCAATAATAAAAAATGACGGGAAGGCAATTTTAAGTATAAATTTAACGTTTCGGGTAATTGTTGTGGCCGGGAAAATCGGATCGGAAATCACTGAAGAGAAAATCGATTGTATTATAACATTAGTGTTTTTCGAAGACTTCAGATAAAGATTTTCGCAATAAATTTAAATAGTGGGTACTGTCCAAATTATAATGAATAAAATATTCTCTGCTTTCTAATACAATATTAATTCTATTTGACATACTTTTACTAATTGAATAAGTTGACTTTCATTAATTTTACTTTTGATGTTACAATGTGAAACCTTTATACTGTAATCAAAGAATTACAACCATTTTTTCAAAATTATTGGCTATATTTCTCACCGAATATATGCAACCAGTGTTGCCAATGGACTAATGAACTGACAATTGCGGCGCAGCATGCAGATGGTTCTCATTATAAATCATTGATCCGGTCAGGGACCAAGGTCCAGTGATTATACCGGACCAATGGACAATGGACCAGTGTTTCATTGAAAATAGCCCAACACATTACTAATGATTGAAAAAACAAATTTATGCACACATTTGAAGAAAATATTTATGCTTTCAATTGAAAGAATACATGTATTAACATGATTCGATTTTTATATCACAAAGGCCACAAAAGTCTTAAGAAAAAAACTGGCCTATTTTCAAGTTATTGTTTGCACTACCAAATATTACTTCAACTCGTGATACAACACAAACTAAGATGTAAGTTTCTTGAGTGAACTTGTTAGACAAAAGTTTAAATAAGGGTTCGATGGTATGTCAGTAAATACCAGTATCGGTATTTTGTGTGTGCTTTACAACAAGACACCATCTTTGGAAGTGAACCTGATTCGAAAAAGCACAATTGATATTTTATTAGTTTGTATTGATATTTAGCAGTGTTGTCGTTCTTAGACAAAACTTCAGCTAATTTCTTAATTCAGTTTTTAATACGATTAATTGCTAAAGTACAGGTGAATTTTGGAATTCTATTTAAAATCAGCATCGCTTAGCGTAAATTATTTAACAACCAATCTTTTCTTAATTGAAATTTTCCAATGTTTTATCCAGTTTCGCAGGGGTGTACGACGTACGTTTCTTCAAAACCAATGCGATAGGTATCGGTATGCACGTACGCAGAAAACTAGCATTTATTAACGTTAATCGATGGGATCGATTTTAGGAATACAAATATTTGTTTTGTTCCAGGGTTCATCCTGCATACAAGTTACGTATTTGTTTGTTTATATGACGATGATTTATACGTATTCTTCAAACTGCTGAAATTTGAAATATGTCTTAATTCGAAATTTTTAGCTTACGTACTTTATGCTGTGATTTTAACAGTTATATTTGATTGATAAAAGATAAACGAGAAAAAAACATAGTATTACTACGTACGTACGTAATTATCCATCACTGCGACAAGATGATCTTGCTATCAATCGCACAATATTGAGATAAAAAAAATGTCCGTGATGATCTTGTTTACCGTTACCATTTAGAACAAGCTAACGAGTTAAGGAGCGTGTGTGCTATAAGATACGACTGTAAAAACATTTGTGTATTTCTGCGTCGTGAGAAAATAAATCAAAAGGATTTTCTGCAGGTGAGTAATAAAGATGATAATTATCATTATCATTACCGTTATTGTTTGTAAACGTATCAATATCGATATACACGTATTCACCAAAGATCGTGGGCTAGCGCGTGTGCATGTGTGCTCAAATATTACAACACGTTAATAGGATACCAAACCCACTTTATTAGAAAGATTAGAGCTTATCAATCATGCAATCCAAATTGTTTGTTTTGATAATATTTATCTGCAAGTGATTAAGAATTTTAAATTTCCTTTTTTATTATATCCAACAAGCTATATATATTAAAACACATGGAACTTATCGTTATAGTTTCAATTTTTGTGCGCGCTGTAGATTGATGATTTTATCAATTAAATATTTCAAGTAGAGAGTGAATCGATGTACGCAAAGAACAAACAAATCTGAGATGCTTGCCAGTTCACATTAGATTTCTACGCGTATCAATTAGAATAATATTTTTCAGTGAGCATATGCCTGTTGCTGCCATAAAACTAAACACAAATTTAAATCCCCCAAGAACTTGCTTCGAGAGATATCATTAGATGTATGTACAGTCGTACCTCCATATAATCACACTTTTTGTGTGATTATATGGAATTAAAATTTTATTGTTTATTTTTATCGTTATTATTATAATTTGTCTCACATAAGGCAAATTTGATATCTTTCTAAAGAGAATAACATGGCACACTTGTAACGTAATTTAGCCATCAATCTCACGCGTGGTAATTTTCTTTGTCTTGTTCTTATTAAAATTATTAACGGATATCAAATTAAAACATCGAATTTTTCGTCATTTGAAATATCCGATTTTTTATTAATGAAACGTAATAGCCAAAATTTTGACATCGAATATAAAATTTGTCAAATTGAATTTTCATTTTCGTTCACTAATTACCGTTATTTATCGTTAGAAAATACCATACAGTATTTAAAAATAACACGAAATAAACATTCAGGAGAATGGTTCTGTGCATATATTTGCTACATCACCCTGATAACGATAATATCCAAAACAAATAACAAATACGTATTGTGGTACTCGTACATTGATAGGTATTTTTTCACTTTCATTCTATAAATTACTGTTTTACGATTTAAGAGTACTAATATTATCTTCATGCATGGTGTGAGAAAAATTAGCTGCATGATACTTGTAATATGATATTTACTGCAATGTAATGCAATATAAAAATAAGCTCGATTACATATTACACATGGATTCGTTTACTCGTATTTGTCCGATCTAAATGAGTTGATTGATTGATAAATGCAAGTAATTATATGAACAAGAGGTATCACGCATTTTGTTCAGTTCTTGTTTTTTTTGGGTGCTAGCGCTAGATCGTTAGTTTTGACTGATAATAAAGTAGATGTTAGTAAGGGTATATAGTAAATATGGAAAAGGTTGAATAAAAAATACGCGATTACGTATGATTTGTATCACAAAAAGATATGATTTTTTGATTTATTATGAAGCAGATTTTACCTATATTTAAGGATCTTTTTACAGTAACGGTAAATATAAAACAATTTATTTTGAAACATAAATATGTCAATAACAATAATAATTTGGGAGTGTATTGCTACAATAAAATTATACACATATGTAAACAAATAAACAAAAGACCGAAATGTATAATAACACTATGTTTGCGAAACTTTTTTCTAAGAGAAAAGTTTCTCTGTCTTTTTGTAAGCTGTTGTTGTTTATGAAATTCCTAATAAAATACGGCATAGAAGCGCTACATCTTGAAACATAATTTGACGAAAAAAACGGCCGATTTTGTGACCGATTACTCTACTTTTTAATAGAGCTGGATTATTAGAGTTACCTTTGGCTCGTTTTGATTTTCCTTGTGTTTATTTTTTTTTCTTATCAAAAAACCTGCTTTTTCATTTCAGAAATTTTGTCCGTCTGTTCCTTTTAATCTTCATAAATTTAGAGCATATATATAGATATATATATATATATATATATATATATATACCTTCTCGTTGAATTTTCTTTTCTTAAGCTAGAGATTTTCAATAATGCTTTTATTTGCTAATACTGATTCGATAACAAGTACACCAAATTCTCAAAATTCTTCACCTAGGGATGAACATTTAGAATTTGCTACAAATTGTGAATCTAATGAGAATAAAACCAGTCATGGTAATGAAGTATCAATGACTACAAATGAGAATTTAATGGAAGATGATGATGAATCGACAGCGACTTTGACAACAAGGCACCAAAAACGCCGTGGCAGAAAACCAAAATATCCGGATCCAACACCAGGGTACCGTTCTAGTTATAGTGTCAATAGGAGTTTCACTCAGACCGAAGTTGTGCTCTTAAGAAATATTCTAAAAGAATCTGGCGAGCCGCCCGCTGACTTGTTCGCTACACGCGTTTGGCCCCCTACTGAGTCGACATCAAATGACCATAGTCATCATCATCATCGACATCGATACCATGATAATGAGCATGATGAGATGAAAATTATCGATCAGGTTAATGATGCCACGATGGTTTTTCCGGTTAACGAGGAGAATCCAAAAAACCAAGAACTATTATCAAATGCACGACGGAAAAGATCTCGTAATGTCACCTCTCCTTACCAATCGAGAGTCTTACGTAAAGTATTGACTGTGACTTCCTTTCCTTCCACCGAAATGCGTGAAGCACTCGCAAATGAGTTAAATATGCATCCACGGACAGTTCAAATTTGGTTTCAAAATCAACGTCAAAAAGCCAAGAATAACATTCAAATCCCAACAGCGAATACAAATACGACAGGAAATGCATCAACTGTTTCTACCTCAGCATCGATGAATTCTAGAGGAGGAGAAATGACTTCACTCGATGACTATAATCCGGGATTGATGTCGGCGCCAATGTCGGCGCCAATGTCAACAACCGGCATAAGTGCAATGTATTTTCCCAATCTAACGTTTCAAAATAACAATGTTTCTCACGATGCAACTCCATGTAATTCCCAAGCAATACTCACCCCTCCACTTTCAGAAGATTCACGACAACACTTTCTCAATAATAATAACAATAATGATATTAATGATGACAGTGATAACAATCATTGCGGTGTATCAAAAAATAATACACCAAATGAAAAAGACCATTATCCAGATACGCATTCACAATTAACTGCTCAAAGTTTCTTACCTGATGCTACAACTTATATGAACACTACACAATTTGCCAGTCCATATATCTTACCAATTTTTCCTAGTACGCCATTACCATCACCACCAACACCAACATATTTACATGCTACCTTTCATCACCCTCAATTTTTCCATCAAACCTCATCTACAGCATCAACAATGAAATTTCCAGATTATTCGCCTTCCACCACAAATAATACAACATATCATAATCATTCACATCAGATGAATTCACAACAGCAGCAATTACAATCTCAAGAAATCAATCACCATCATAATATTTATAATTACAGTGATTCAAATGTAACAAATCCTACATTAGATATATTGGCAGCAGCTGCCGCAACAGTACAAGCAGGCACTTCTCATTCACTTCACCACCAAATACGAGCGATTAATGCTAGTACAAATGAACGATCTGTCATTGGTTCTTCTTTAAGTACGCCTATAAGCGGTTTACAATCTTGGTAAATCATTAATCATTCAAAGACTTTTGACAAGTTTATTCTTTGTATAATTTCTTATAATAATTCATTAATTTTTATTCTTCATTTTGTATATATGGGATAGAATCTTACCCTTCTTCTTATTAAAAATACAAGTTGAATTCTTTCCCTTGTTTCTTGTTCTGTTGAGTTTTGTCCTTTTAGAATTACGTGCAGGCTCGCGAGATTTCTAAAAAAAACTCATACTTTGTTCTTCCATATTTTCGTCCTTTCTTTACCTTTCTTTATTATTATTCGTGATATCTTAGCTACAAAAACATAAATGCATTTTTTTTTGTTCTTTATCTCGAGACAAGAGAAGAACCGACAAATATAATTTTCATATTCTTCGTATACACTCAACTTTTCATCATTAATATAATTTAATCTTGCATCATTATTAATATTGACACTTAATTTTAGTATAAGAAAATTTCATTTATTCTAAGAGAACTTCTCATTCGATTTATGAATCTATGGTGGATTGGTTATAAGAAATAAAGAAGGCAAGGAAATTGGCTACGAACGAATGAACGAACAACAAACAAAATTCTTACGCTACACAGGACAGGTCACAGAATTTTTTCTGTTTTTTTCTCGTTTTGAAAACACACAAATTACATATTCGCATCATTTACTTCACCTTCATCGTTCTCCAGTTCTTTCATGTTTTATGCACCTCTACGATTTTTCTTTCATAACTAAGCGCTGAACGTTCGATAAAAAAATAAAAAAGCAAAAATCACAAACTTTTTCATCTTTCATCATTCGATAAAAAAATATAAAAACTCTTCGTGAAATAAAATTAGACTTTGGAAATTTTCTTTTTCTGTAAATTTCAATAGCGTGAGGGATAATTCAAATTCTAAAAATAGACATTAATATTTTTTTATAAATAAAATTGCATATTGATATTACTGCAAGGGAAAGTGTGTGTATGTTCGGTAAAAAATTAATCCTACCTATTTAAACTAAATATTGTCGCTACTCCGTTCTTATTTACCTTTATAATGATGACTAATTAATCAAGTTGCCTTTCGGTATAACGATTTTAGATACGGTATAATGATATTTGCAGGATTTTTTACTGATTATCCCATATAATTTGATTCAAGAATATACTGTATTTTGCCGTATAAACCATTCCCCTCTTAGAAAATATAACCTTAATTTAACCACAAGGATATTAATTTAGTGACTAAAATTTTTAAGTTATTTTGAAGAAAAATCATTGGTTTACTAAAAATAAATTGGACCAAATTAAGGTTTAAATATTCTGCAGAGGGGGTGGTTTATTATGGTGCATGTATATTTAAATAATCCGATCCGACAATACAATACATATCGATATAAATTTACTATTAAACATTACAATTTTTCATTTATTAGAACAACTGACTACTGTATTTTACATATATAAACTGCACTGTAAACATAAGGTAATACCATCAGTCTCAAGAAGAAAGGAGCCGAAATAAGTGAGTTGCTTGTATCAATTACGGCAGTGTTTAGTTCATTGATGCTAAGAGCTTTCTGTCACTTTCCAGCTATATAATTTAATTGTAATTAAGATTACCTGAAATTTAAATTATTGACATCGCCTAAATCCAATTGCCTCATAGCGATAACATCTGTCTTATCCTTCTTACGCCAAAACAAAAACTAAAAACAGTTTTTTGTTCAATCATGTCCGTGAAAGGGGTATTGGAATGTAGAGTTACAATCAAAAATTTAATTGAAATATCATCAACCCGTAATTTCGTCTAATCAATATCAAATAATCGAATCTTATTGAAAGCTTGGCTTTTAGCAGGGTCAATAATGTACGAGTTTTTAAGCAGTACTTTTACAATCTATCGATGTACCCAAAGGTCCGAGGATAATACTACCATCTCTTCCGTTAATCAAGAGATCATTAACAACATCACTGATGGTATCAAATTCGATGTTTTTCGCCTCTTATCATGAACTTTTACTTTGAATTTCTTTTTTCGCAAGAATATACTAGAAGACTTGATGATGAAAGATGATATCGATCCGTTTCTTGCTTATGTCTTAAAGATATCAACAATTTCGTTGACTACGATCATTGAAATGTCAATCATAGAAAATTAATGTTTTTATTACGTATAACGATAATGATAAGATTATTCGTATTTGAATACAAGATTACGTACTGTATTCTTTCTGAAATGTTAATCATAGAAAAGTAACGTTAGCACTAATGCTTTATTTTTTACGACTACCGCTACGTATAACGATAAGATTATTCGTGTTTGAAAATAAATCCACGTTTCATAATTTACCGCGATAAGACTATAAATGGTAACTTGAGTCCGTGATACGTACTTATCGTTATTAATGCAAATCAAATATATTTACCGTTATTGAATGAGACTTTATACGTAGTAACCGCCGGGGATAAATTACAAAATACTCACCTGCACTTGATTCGTACTTCCCAGATGTGGAATGATGAAGGGATACACGTATATATGAAAAATTAGGAATAAATTTATACGTACGCTGCATCTGGGATGTACGAATTTTTTGAGAAAGTTTTTGATTCAAATTTTGTTCATTTTTATGATAATAAATTACTTTCGGTCTTTTTTTGAATAAATAACAATTTCATATAATTATCACCCACTTGCTAACATCTAGTATAAATATTTCACAATTACATTTTATTCAATTTCTTTAGACGTATACTTAAGGATGGTCTCCGAAATGACGTTACCTAATTAAATAATTTACCGAAATTAACTTGCCGAAATCAAATCCAAAATTATTTTGATTTAGTTTATTAGTAACCGAAATTGGGTTCCGAAATTATTTGGATTCTACAAACTAAAACAAGCATTTCTAGATGATTTTAAATATTCATTAATATAAGCAATATAGCAAAACTGAATTGCTTGCTGAATACCATTTTTTCAAAAACAATTTAGACAACCATCTTTACGTATACTCTTGTTTAAAGTTATGCAGTTATTGATTGATGAGAAGTTTCTTTTGAGATATTAATTTTAGATTTTTGCATTTACAAGTGAAAAATCGTCAGCTGAGAAAACGTCAGCTGAGAAAACGTCAGTTTCATATCATTAATATTTTAGATAATCGGGAATCTTTTATCTTTATTGAAAATATAATTTGCATAAAAGTTCGAGGGGTACGAGTTACTTGCCGATGATAAAAATGCGAATATCCATACATTTTACATAATAACGATCAAAGACATTACTTTCCCACAGAATTATTGTCTAGTATCTTTTGAATAAAAGTTTGATTTTTTAATAGAAAATATACTCGATTTTTCTGCTGTAGAACCTGATCAAATTCTACTTCATTATCAATAGATTCGTTAAGATATCCTGCTGAAACAAATTCTTTGAGTATAGACAACAACGCCTCTACTGCTTTAATTCTGATAACATGTGGTTTAGATTTTCTAGAGCTTTGAATGCTAAATATTAGCATAATTCCAAAGTATATTTATATGTTGTTTGCTTTTGACAATTGTTGGATGATATCCAAAATTCCAAACAACAACGCCAGTGGTTCAAACCAGCTAGATCATTAATAAAACGAATACATGCGTCGTCTCATCATTATCATTGGCCTTATCCTTTTAACTAGTTGATGCGTAGTTTTCCTAATAGTAAACATAGCGATATTTATTGATTCCACAGTGTTACATTATCAAGTATCGTATGGTTGTATTGTATGGGTACGAATAAAGGTTACGCTATTGGCTCACACGTGATTTTCTGACCTTACCATACTTCTTTCTCGATCATACAATACTTATTAACGCAGGACTCGAAATTCTATGGTATGGTTAAGATGTTTAGTATTGTATACACCAGTTTTGCATTAGTTTACCAAATTCGAGCTGATATGTTATACTTGGTCGTGAGGCCAGTTACTTTAATAAAAAATATACGGTACAGTCCCGGCAAGTAATGGCCGATTGACGTTTAAATTAACATTAAAAATCACAGAAAATGTTTACTTCTCTGAAATTTTTAAGGTAACTGTAAATCGCTCGGCTGAACACTTTTTCATAATACTCTAAAACCAGTTTCTTAATAAAGTTTTCGAGATATTAAAGGATTTTTACAAACGATTCGGTTAGGGGTTGCCACTAAACAAAGCTCAATAATTCGAAAACGACATTATTAAATCAGTTTTGCCAACTAATAAAAATTGTTTCCCCAATCTATATCTAGCTAATTCCAAAAAATCAGCATAAAATACCAATTATTTCTTAAAATAGTTAAAAATAAATAAAAAAATTAATCTTCTTTGGACATTTTTAATAATTAAATTATTACATTAATATTAGAAAAAAATTATATTAAATATTAATATTTCTAGGATATAAAGTCTTACTTATATATATTATAAAAATAAAATTTTAAATGATATTATTATGTAAAAAAAAATATAATAAAAAAACCGTCGGCCATTACTTTCCGGGGGGACTGTACGGATGGATAATTCAATATGAGTATCCCCACATTGGTTGGAGATTAGATACGGTATGTACTTTTGGAATATAAGATAACCTATACTCTGAATCCGTATCTAACAGTTTTCCGATGTACATACGGTACTCATACCCAATCGTATCCAATCGATACATACCCTTGACATCTATCACCCATACCATACTCATACACGTAGACTCTTAATTTTATCCAATAATTTTATAAATCGCTTTTTTTGTTAGTTTGTGCTTTTGATTACAACAATAATAATCTTAAAAGATGATATCTCAAGAGGAAGTTCAAACCGATATTGATTATACATGTACATGTATTACGCGTTATCGTTATCGTTATCGTATGGCCAATAAATTTATTTGATTAAATATCGAAATTAATAATAGCGATAGTGATAACATAAAGAAGTTAGAGTGACACAATTTAATGCAGCTGCGCATTTTAGACTCAAGATCATATTGTGTGATTACTTTTTAAT